AATATTAGCTTTTTATTTAGCTTCCTACAATCCAATAATCTCAACCACTCGATTCCACCTATTAGTTTCCTTGCATTTTGGCACAGTAGTTGTTTTGTCTCTTCTAGATTTTGTGAGGTTGCCCCCTCGCACACAAATGTAGGGATATGAAAATTAAAGAATCATTGATCTTCAATCTGCCCAATTAGTATGAAGACCCATGATCGTTCATTGCTGATTCAATCAAGATCGAAGAGCACTTGATTTATCTTGATCCGATCAATGTTTAAAGTCCTCAGCACCATCAATCTTTAATATGACTAGAGTTTTGTTACCCTAAATTGATCTAGTCTCAAAGAGTGATATATGTAATTTTTCTTGTCATTTTCTACATATGATAATAAATAACAGTAGTAATATAATATATTCATGTAACAAATATTGAACTTCTCTTGAATGATGGACATTATGCCCGCTTCAAGGTTAGAGTGTTGTCAGTGCATTCAATTCTGCCATTTAGTCACAAGAAGGTGTTGAGTGTCTCTCATCACCTGAATCACGGGCACAAAAAAAAAAAAAGACCAACCATGTGTGAAATCTGATAAAAAGGAAAGAGATAGGTTGGGGCCCATAACCCAAGCTTCTATAAATACTTGTTGATGGCTTATTCGCTATGTGAAGATTTTTTGATCATATCAAATAATATATAATCATGAAAAACATTACTAGAGTGCCCTTCTTTTGCTCTTAAAATGTATGAACAAAACACAACTATCAATTTCAAGTTGCAAATTAGCTTATGATTAGAGTTTGGGAGCTTCATAAACATTCTGGACACATTTTAGGACATAAACTAGAATGAGGAAATGATTATTCCATTTGATAACAGAAATAAATAATTTATTGATGTCCATTTCACATTCGGTTATCAAATTCAAGAATTTTTATACCATTGTCAACCAATGCTTAACATTAGGTTGATGATTCCATGTTTCCAAGAATGCCACTTCATTAAGCACATAACATCACCAAAAAAAATTGTGTTATTCATGCAGACATCCCAAATCTTTGCAAACTTTATATAAATTGCTTATTTTTGTTAATGCATCGTTATGCACAAATCATATTAATACACTTAGGCCTCAATTTAGATACATATGCTGCTAACCTGGTTGATTAAGCAAATAAGCCAAGTTCCCAGATTGATTTAATTGACTTCTATTTGATCTCGAGGTCCTGGTCAATTATCTTAATATGCATATAAAATTCACGCTACATCTATAATTAATTTCCTTATAATTGTATGCTTTGCTTATTCTTCGAGGTCCTAAGACTTGGTAACGTAAGTACAATATGCAAGTATGCAAAAAGTTAGGACTAAGCCTTTATTTATTTGCCAACTTGCAAATGGAGCAATAGTTCACATATTAAAATTAAGTCAAATTTAAAAATCAAATGCATGTATAAAAAAAGAAAAATTAAATGACATTTGTGTCTTCAATTTTTAGAAAACTTTTATAATTGGATATTGCTATAGCTCATTTTGTCTAGGCTCTTTGTGGCTAGAAACTTGGTGTAATTGAATGTTACTGCCCTATTTCATCAGGAGGTATGGATTGGGACCTGTGGAGTTTAAAAACATGCTATCAATCTGCTTTTCTTGTCACATTTTTTGAAAAATTTCTTTGAACGTGTCAAGATTTTCTGAGCTGAGAAATTCTCAATTTCTGTCGCAGGACCTTGTACGTAATGACCATATGGTTAAAGATCATATACCTTCAGTTCAAATCTATTTTCATAACTTGGAGCTGAGTTCAATATCTCATCAAGAGAGTGGTTGATGTTCTTGCTTGTGCTAGCCCTTTGGTGTTGATCA